ATGGCTTACAGGCCATCAGTTAGACAGCCCTGCTTTATAGTATTAAAGTTTTAGTTACAGAGTTATGAAAACAGAACAACGCTCTAATATCTTACATTTAAGAACCTGCTTTATAACAGTTTTCAAGAGACAAGATTAATATTTAGAAAGTTAAATAAATTAAACACTTTTGTTTTGGGGGGGGGAAGAAACAAAACTTGTATTTTTTAAGTCAATTGAATTAATCTTTTTTTTTTTTTTACTTAAGTTCCCCAAGGTAGTGGATGTCTAAAAATAGCATACCAGATCTTGAATAAACCCTAAAAAACCCTGTATTAGATGTTAACTAGCACACACTGATTTTGAAAAGCTGTTGTGATTGGCATCCTGAAGGAACATTTTATGTAAAGACCAGGAATTATTTAATGCCTGATAAAACTTTTTAATCGAACTGTTTTGACCTTAATTCAGTGTATCATGTTGGTCCTTAGTACAGGTTTCCTTCACCAACCATGTGGGTTAGGTTCCTGAAAGTTCCCATGGTTGGCAAATCCAGCAGGGCTGGGGGAGCGGGGGCAAGAGCAAGGCTGTGGAGGCTATCGGGGGGGGAGGGGAGAGGAGCAAGAGGCACAAGCAGGGCCAAGGGAGCTGTGGACGTATTTTCTGACTGTACCCCCCCTTCTTTGAAGCGTGGATACTTAAAACCAGGGTTGGCAAAACTGTGGTTGGCAAGGGAAACCTGTATAGGTTCTTTAACAGTTACCCTCAGAGCTCAATGGCATTGTTTGTGTGTATTAGGTAAGAGGCGTACGCTTCCCAACTTAAAGTTATCACAATTTGCATGTACTGCACAATATTTTTGTGGAAGGTACAGAAAGGTAGCCATTTGAAATGCTAAAAACCAATCTACCTTTATAAAATATCTGAGTCTTGCTGAGTTTTATTTCATTCTCTGACATCTTCTGCCCTACAGATGAGTTCAGTGCAAGTATGTGTTAATGTATCTGTGGCATGGCCAACAGCAAACATGATCTGTTCTTTCAGTTGAATTTTTTCATTTTCCTGAGCCTGCATGAATGTGACTCTATAAACCAAGTATGCTCTGCTGTTTCTACTCACTTTTTCATAGGCAGACATCACAGCGCAGCCCAGGGATGGTCTATTACAGATTTGAACCAGTTTCTGATCATTTATACCAATTTATGTGTGATTTCTGTCCCTATCCCCTGAGACAGAAGACCTCTTCTGCCTCTTTCCAGCTCTGCTCTGAGCTTTGGACCTTCTCATTCATTAGAATACATTTCTTATCTGGGATGCATATATAGTGCTAATGTCTGTTACTATTTTCTTTTAACAGTTAAAAACTCAAAATGACCGGGAATCTCAGAGCATGGATATCATTTTTACAGAGAGACAAGCGTAAGTGTATAAACATCTAAAAACAATCACATTTTATTATCAGTTAGCTTCATAAACTGGGAAAACTAAGAAGTGAATTATTCCTTGTGTTCCAAAGACACCAAAATGTACATATAACAGCTAGGTGGTTTATAAATACAGCACAAGCTTTGGTTGTGCATTTGGTTTTCACAGCTCATGCTAAGTCTCTTTTTAGGCGTATGAATCTCGTGTCTCTGAAGATAGGCTAGGGCAGGGGTGTTCAAAATATGGCCTGCAGTACTGTCCATGGGGCTCAGCCTGGACCAGCATGCCACATGCAGTGTGCCAAAGCAACCCCATGTACTGTACATGGCAAATGGATCTGGTCTGATACATGCTGAATGTAGGGCCAAAACCGGAACACATTGCATGTGGTGCATAGAGCTGGTCCAGGGTGCCTGCTACATGCAGTGCCCATGCCAGACCAGCCCCATGCGTGGGATGCAGTGTGCAGAATTGGTCTGCAGGCTTGATCTGGCCCATGGAGTGGCCCATGCCAGCATGCAGCACATGTTGCCTGATGAGTTTGACACTCCTGGGCTAGGGCAAAGAGTATTTGAAGTCTTATTTTTTTACATGCTTCAAAGATTTTTGGGACCCTAAAAGTTGTTATCAAAACTGGTTAAAATGCAGAACATTCTGATATGTTCTGTATTTTAATTTACAATCACTTTTGAGAAATAAGAATCATTTTTTAGAATTCCCTATTAATGAATTCTTAGATAAAATGTTTTTTTTAAAACTCCAACTCAATTTTAAGAATATTTGAAAATGTTGAAAATATTCATTAAGCTGTAGTTTAACAAATGTGATTTTTTTTCCTTTTTTTAAGCTGTTTAAAGCTATGTCAGTTTTATGCTATTGCAAGAGTTTTCACATTTTAATAATATTTTAAGGGAAAAAAGCTCCACTTAGTACTGGGATAAGATCCAGTATTTGGTAGATGTTAATGGTCATTTATCATTGAATTATATATAGATGTGTTTAAACAATGTGGGAGGGGACGATGTCTTTATGTTTTATACTCAAAAACAATGAAATTTAGTTTAGGAATACTAGGTAGTCTAAACAATGTTTTAGTCTCAGCTAATGGATAAAATAATGAATTGGTACTCAGATCTGAGTTGTCCCAGATCTGCCACTGACTTGGAAACCTTGGATAAGTTACTACTCTCCGAGTTGCCCCAGTTTCTCCATCTGTAAAACAATGCCAATGATATATTTGTTATAAGTTCTCTGAGACCTATTGATGAAAGGCAGAGGATAAAATTTAGCTGTTAGTGTTTTTCCATAATAATCAAATAAATACTCATATTCAAGCATCAGACATATAACACATATCTGCCAGTGTGGTAATGCATTCACATCACCAGATTTTTTTTTAGCTCTATGATTTATATAAAACACGTGCCTCCACATTTGACGAAATGAGAGAGAGTGAGAGCTGTTGGTTCAGTCTGTAATACACACAAGAAATTTTCATGTACAAGATTTTGAATGGATTGATCCTACATAATATGCTTTTTAAAGTCCAATTATCATCCACCATATAAGACGTTAGCTCTCTTCAGATAATTCATTGGCATCTATATATTTGTCCTCAATAAATCCATCCTCCTCAGGTACAAATGTATGAATTTGTTTAAATATTACTGTAGAATCCTCCTGGTTGTAATCGTTTGGTATGGGTGGAAAATGACTTAGGTCAGCTGCAAACTCCTCTTCAAACATGTCTGGTTCATCCTCTTCCAGACGACGATGGTTGTAGCTGATCAAATAACGGTACCATGTCGGGCATTTTACAGCAGTAAAAATCAGTACCGTAGTGGTTAGGACGAATATAAGGACACCCACCAGAAAGGCCCAGCTTTTGCCTAGAGGTGGTGAATCTTTAAGAATACAAAAGAAAATCAGATTTAATTAAGCCCTGAAGAAGAATGTACTGCATTTGAAAGCTTGTCTAAGTAAATCCCAACCTTGTAGTTGGTTCAGTCAGATATGTCAGCCACAAAAATCCTTCCCCCTCATATATTTCCTGGATCATTACAGCTACAACATCACTCCATCACTACCAAATTAAATTAATAACAAGCCAAAACAATTAATCTGTATTACACAACAGAACTGTGATGTGATTTTTCCATGATCAAAGGTGGAACTAATGGGGAAAAAATTGACAGTGAAATTTTTTAAGTCTCTTTGTCAAGCCTTAATAGGATACTAGCATTTGTGCAATCCAAACTGGTGAACTAGGTCCAAAATTTTTATGTAAAGGTGTTCTGTATATCCAACTGTAAATAAGTAACTTCTTTTCAGGACAGAAGGTCAATGATATTATGAGCACATTTAACAAAATAGTCATTTTTTAAATAGTTTAAAAAAAGATCATCCCTTGTATAGGACACCAGGATATATACTTGTCTTTATTGTCCATTTTTCCAGCTTGAAGCTTTCATGGTTACACCTAGAATATTTGCATCCTGATAATCACATTTGATTTGGTTTTGGTTTTGGTTTGCACATCCCCCTAGATCAATTCTCAACCATGGTGCTCTGACACTGTGGGGTGTCTTAAGATCCTTTCAAGGGTGCTGTGGGTTGCCACCCAATGTTACATGAATGGCGTGTGCCCCTGGCAGCTGCGGGGGGGCACGGCAGCGGTGGGAGTGCAGCAGTGATATGTGCAGAGCTCCTGCAGGCACCGCCAGTGCTGTCACTGGCAGGGGGATGGGGGAGGGCAAGCGCCAACCAGGGGTCAGCGAACACCCGCAGGTGCTGCCGACAGTGGCGGCAGCGGCCAGTGGCAATCACGGACCGCCCACTGACATGGCCAGCGATGTTGGCAGCGGGGTGGCGAGCAGTGACTGCCCACAGGCACCACCGACAGTGTCGGTGGCACCTTTTTATAGGGGGTGCTCTGTTACACTCAGGGTACACGTGCACCCACATGCACCCCCTGTGCATCATGCATGCAATGTTAACACTGTTAGGAGTACACGTTTAATATAAGAAATCCAGAGGGAGTGTCTAGATGAGCGCACACGTGTATTTTCCTAGAGACAACTAGCAGAGGCTAATCCTTGGGGAACGTCCCTGCACACATGCTTTGGCACTGGGCAAAGTGGCCTGGGTGGGATAAGGGAGGCTGGGGCAGCACCTGGGCTGGCCCCAGCAGCCTTACCTGGGATTCTGGGGGCCTCCTGGGGCTGCAGTTGTGGCGATCTGAGCATGTGGAGCCTGGCTGGCAGCCAGAGCATGGCTTCGGCTGGCCAGACTCTGGTTTTGGGCAGTGCTATCTAAATTTGGCTCTGGCCTGCAAATACGCAGTGTAGAGAACCAAATTATGTGCACAGGGGGTGTTTTGCAGCACATGCGTGCTCGTGTGGACTCACCCAGAGAGTTCAAATATCAATCTGTAGGGTTAAAACATTCTGATCTGTTATGCAACAGAAGAATTCCTCTGTTTTCTTTCTGTAGTCAAAAAACGAGTGAAAACTAAGACTTAGCACTTCCTACGCCATGCCTTGAGTCTAAAAAAATTGAGAATCACTACTCTACATATATTTCTTTTATAATGAAAATCACAGTAAACCAGTCTCTATTTGCAGTCTGCCCACAACTTCATAATCTGGCTAGTGTTCTTGATGTGCTGTAGTCAAAGGGATTTCATGACAGCTGTCTCCAGACTGATTTATGCCTTTCTTCTGCTTCAGTCACACATTAATTGTATTGCTCTTTGCATGCACAGCGGCGATGGTCTCAGACGGCTCCTGCAGATGTGTGGGGAGCCTGCACTGACATACTGGAAATCCAGCGCATCGAAGCAGACTTGATTAAGTGAGTCTGCTGGAACACAGAAATTGATGTACTCCAGCAGCTTTTTGTGTCACATGTATCAGCATCCCTGCACTGAAAAAATGGTAGTCGGGCACCTTGAAATGAAACATGTTCGATCAGCTTAATTGCAGGGACTCATGGGAACACTGATACACGTGGTGCGTGGGTGCTTTTAATTAGTGCAGCTCACTAATTAAAGCACCCGGCGCCACATCCCAAAACACACATAAAATGCCCAGAAGTGGGAGAAGGAGCAGCTGCTCTCAGTGGAGTGAGGCAAGAGAACAGACTTATTGAATGAAATCAGTTATGGGTAAAAATTAAGATCAGTAGTATGGGGGGTGGGAAATTACATGGTGGAACAACAAGGCTAGAGAAAATGAGGGAAGTCCCCTTTGACATTTCCAGTAGAGTAGAATGGTAACATTTCATGTCCTTGCATTAGGCCAGGAATAAGGAAAGAGATTAGATAGCAGGCCTTCTTACATCTCATAAAGACAGTTAACTTTAAGAACAAGCTTGTTTTGCAGATAGAGGATTGATTATGGACAGACTCACTGGTTCAATTCAGCACGCACTCTTGGATTGTTGGCTCAACTTCAGACATTCTGAAATCTCAAATCATTCATTTCTAGGTGATTTTTTTTACAATATCACAAAAATGAGATACAATGGAATTTTTATCTGTTTTGAGTTCCTGGTAATATTATTTCTGATCTGAAATGCATGCAGTCTTCCTGGGTGTCTGGCAGTCCCCAGATCTTTTGTTGGAGAAATGTCCTATACCAGTATTTTGGATGGTACTTTAATCAAGTGTTAAACATCAATTGATTACCTGAATGTGTTGCATTGTTTGTAATCTTGCTTGTAGAGTTCAGAATGACCATGCTTTTGGGATTAGTGGAAGAAGTGGAAAGAGTAGTTGTTGCTGTTAATTGACAGTCAGCTGTCTGGATAGGTGCTGTCTTGATAGATGATTTTTTCCAGGCTTCTGGGTATGCACACAGAGTGTCATTTTCATTTTCTGTGGGTATGAAAAGGTGATGAGAAGTAATTTGCAGTGTCAGCTATGGTGTAGTCAAGACTTTTTTAGGGACAAGTCATATTTACTATAATTTAATTTACAGTATTAAATAATGTTC